GATGATGGTATCAGAAGATAAGGCCTCTGGGAGGTGCTTACGTCATGAGGGTGGAGCCTGTGAATGGGATTAGCGTTCTTATAAGAGACCCCACAGAGCTCCCTAGCCCCTTCCATCGTGTAAGAACACAGTTGGAAGGTGCTGGCTATGAACCAGGAGGGCCTTCATGAGACCTTGACCATGCTGGTACTTTGATCTTGGACTTCTCAGTCTCCAGAACTGTGAGAAATGTTTGTTTATAAGCCACCCAGTCTACGGAGGTGAAGAAACACTTTTCCAAGGATCATTTGAGAAGCAGTACCTGGCTCCCTCCTCAATTAGGGCTGCTCCCTGGTCCCGGAATGCTCCCCCCAACCCTAAGTATTCACAAGCATATTTAAGAAAAAAATTTCAAATGATAATACTACACAGATCATTTCTGAACTTGTTTTTCTTTATAAGTGGTGGATCTCTTTTAACATTAGCACATATAGATCTAATTTGTACACTTTAATATCTGCTTGAACCATTATATGAATATTTGTAAGACTTTTTAAAAATAAGTCAATATATAGATGATGTATTATAGAACTGTACACTTGAAATCTATATAATTAACTAATGTCACCCCAATAAATTTAATTTAAAAAATATTTAACCCCCAAAAAAACAAGTCAAGGATATAGGTGTTCACTATACTATTCTTTCAAATTTTATATAGGTTGAAAGTGTTTCAAAAGTTTATGAACCATGATTCAAGCATTCACTTGAAAGACGAAAGACTCCATACTACTTCTACATTTCCTATGTTTGGTATTTATCATCTCGAAGTACACAGTTGTTCATTATCTCTGAAGCCAGAACAAATCAAGTTTACCTGAGCTCATGCTTTTGACTTGGCTGATTTAAGCTTTTATAGAATTTTCTTAATAGTCTACAATTTCCCCCAATTTTCTTTGAGGAACTGATGTAAATTAAGCAACAGAATAAAACTCATTTCAAGCTGCGACTGACCCTAGGACTGGGGTTTTGAAATTTATACTTTCTGACATTGTTTAGAACCAAGATTATTTCATTAGAGCCAAAGCCGAAGTCCTTTCGAGGCCTACAGGACACCATGTGAGCTGTCCCTAAACCTCTCGGTCCGAATCTCCTGCCACCTTCTTCCTCACTGACCAGCACCCCGCTGTCCTGGAACACACAAGGCTCGGGCCAGGTGTAGGGCCTTCTCTGTGCGAAGCGAAAACTCCTCTAATCCAGACATCTGAGGCTGAGGCCCTCCCCTCCTACAAGGTTTCGCTCAAATGCCACCTGCCACCTAATCAAGGAGGCCCATTCTGACTGCTCTTTTTAGTAGGCAACCAGCTCCCCATCCCTACCTGCCATCCTGAACTCTTTTCACCTGACTGGAATGAATGAATGACAGGTAGACACTGAAACACACGGAGCTGTGGATGTAGAAAGTCATTCGGAAAGGGAAGACTACGAAACAGCAGTTAGAAACAGAATGAGGAAAAGGGCTGCACAGAGGGAGGGGCCAAAGCAAGGTCCTCAGGCCTGGTCAGCACAGGGCAGTGTGGCTCACAGGGACGGCACAGAGGCACAAAGACACTGCTCAGTTTGACAACTATCACCAATCATCACAATGTACTCTTCAACCGTTCTTTTTCAGGCCTCCCCTTTTAATACTTACGAGAGTCTGAGTGACCTGGGCTAAGACACTTAACTCTTCCCACAGCCACAGGTGCAGGCGTGACCTGTTATTTTATAATAGGGTCTCAGTACGATTTTTTTTCTTTTAATTTTTTAGGCAAGGCAACCCTTGGTTGACCTCACAGATTGCAAGGACCTTGTCAGCTTACAATCCCTTATTTTTTATTTTTTACACCTATAGCACCTGGTCTTCCTAGGTGGTCTCCCACCCAAGTACTAACCAGGCCCGACCCTGCTGAGCTTCTGAGATCAGACTTGTTCAGGGCAGCATGGCCACTGACTCAGTACAATTTTTTTTTATCTTATACTACATTTAGGTTTTGGTATGGATTGTCATCTTTTTACTGCCGCGTATTCAAGTTCTATATAACTAGGTAGGATGCTAATGACTAGATTAAGGCTTGCTCGCAAACAGTATTATAAAATCATAACTCTTTCCACTTTACAAAGCCCTTCTGCATCTATTTTCTCAATCATCATTCGTATTAAAGAGATATTGACTTCCTTAAAATGTCTTGCTGCCCTACAAAGGATTTGGGGGTTCTAAGTAAATGTGTGCGAAATAAGAGTCCTTTATCTCTTATTACTCATAAAACAGATTCCAGCACCCCTGCAATGTAGAGGGTGAGCAGATTTCTGAGTAAAAAGATGGTGGTAAGCTGGGGCTGCCCACTTTACTCAGCTTCTACTTCCTGTTGCAATTCCCTTTACCAGAGGCCAGAATAGGTAAGTCAGTGATTTTCCACAAATGAACAGAAACACTAAATGCGCAGGGGAGCTGAAAGCAGCAGATGTAAAGAGACACGGCATTCCCACCCTGTCCCCTCCAGCACGTGAAATGGCTGCTGTTGCACTTGATCAAGCCCGAGATCGAATCTAACATCCTCACACAGTTCAGACAGCCCTCTCACAAGGTACCTGATGATCGCCTTACCTGTGTCTGCCACCCTACTCACCCCTGACCTGACTGCTACCCAAGCATTCAGCTCCCGAGTCTCCACAGCTGTGCTGTACTTGGGCCATTGCTTGGCACCAAGTCCACCGAGTCATCCACTCTGGGCTGTTGGGACTCATGCACCTAGCTCTCCTGACTGCCCACACCACAGTGACAGAGCCGACTTCTCTCTGTCATTACAGAGCAGATTCCCTGTTACGAAATTTGTATTTGAATAACCTTTCCAGAGATTATCTCACTGTCCTACAAACAACTGCGAGATCAGGAATCCTTTATTCCTTATTGCATATGAAACAAACAAGCCCACGGCACCCTCGCAATGAAGAGAGCAGGTGCAAGATCATATCCGTATGGTGACCACAAAAGTCCTCTCTGAGGTAAGAACTGAGGTGGGAGAATGTACATTCAGAGCATTCACAGCCAAGGGACAGCACATGAGCTGGAAAGGGCCACACGTGCAAATGCCCAGAGGCTGGTCGGGGCTTGGTGCACACAGAAAACCGCGAGAGGAAACCGCAAGAAGAGTGAGCAAGGAGCAAGCCAAGTGAGCGGTTAGAAAGGTGAAGGGAAGTCAGATTTTCAGGGTAAAAATATGTGAACTACACTGTGTGCAGTGGGAAGTTTTGTTTTGGGTGAGGAATGACATGATCTGATTTACGTTTTAAAAAACTTCTCTAACTGCTCGGTGGAGAATAGATAGAGGCTACTTGCAATAGTCCGGGCAAGTGATTATGGTAGCCTGGACTAAGGGGGTGATCGTAAATATAAGTGGACATACGAGAAAGGTGATTTTTTTAATGGTACAAAACTGATTTGCAACATTATATACTATGTTTTCTCTTACATTCTTGTGATTTCATAAATGACTGCAAATTACTAATGTAACCCTAGAACAAGAGTTTCCGAAGCAGGAGGTTGGGGGTCAAACACAGCCTGTGGACACATTTTGTTTTGCCCAAAAAGTTTATTTTTTTTAATTTGTGTTAATTTGATATCTAGAAATCAGAATTTCCAATTTTCCTTGGAAATCACTAGATCTGGCAAACAACAGTCAGCTAGTGGCAGCTGGCCAGACAGAGCACAGGCTTTCTGGTATCCCAGTGCCCACGCCCAGCACCCTTTACTCAATCATAGCACCTGCTGGAAAGATACCCGAGTTGTCCGCTCTTCTAGTCTGGCACCACTTAAGGATGCCATGAGTCCTTGCTCACGAAAAAAAAATCTCAACTTGGACCTTGAAGCAGAGACCCATGAAGCAGAGACCCAAGTTCATCTCATTTGCTCTTAACACACTTTTGATCAACAGTTGGTTTTTAAATTGTATGTGGCCTGCCATCACCAGTGACAGGCACCCAACACCTGAAGGTCCAGGCACGGGGACAATTCCATTTTGATGCAACCAAACCAGAAGAAAAAAGACAAAACCTGCCTGGTCTCAACATTGCCTGGTCCTACTGCTCAGGCTTCCTCTTTTTGCATATGAAAGAGCAACACAAGCACTGTTAAGACTGTAAACCCCCAGAGGGCAGGGACCTGTCCCTTCTCCATCACAGAGCCTGTGCCAAGCACTCTGCAGGCACTCCAAGATAGGTAAATGGAATCCAAGAGGAGCTTGGCACTTGGTCATCTACGACACATTTGGAAAGGAATAATTCTCAATCTGACGACTTTCCGTTCCACTAGAAAAACGCATCTGTAGTTCAAGGGATGTAGAAACGTCAGTCATTTATAATGGTAATCTCCAGGGAGCTCTGTGCACGCGCGCACGTCTACTATTTCATATCAGAATTGTTTTTGGCCTCCGAACCTTTCCATCTCTACCTAGTCCACCTCATTTTCCCTCATCTTCACCCCCACCCCACTTCAACCCGGACCAGGATAAATAAGATTCATCTATCAGAACATTAGTTAACAATAATGAACCCATTTTAAGTTTCAATAATTTTTTGCGAAGCTTTGTAAACTTCGGGACCTAGGAAAGTCAACCACAGAGCCACCACCGCCCAAGCCCAGTCTGCAATTTTCTGGGCAACATTTCCTTTCCACGGCCAGTACCCACCCGTCTCTCCGCGGACCCCTGCCCCGGCAGTAGGCCCTCAGCCAAGGCAAGACGCTCCACGCCGCCCCCACCACCCCAGCCTTGTTTGCTAAACGGGAATAACAATAACCTCAACGGGCTTTTCCCCGTGGGGCTGCAGGAGAAATGCACGGTGCTTGGCAAACACTCAGCATCCAGCTTGGCAGCTCGTGACAGCATCTTCATCGTCCGGGGAGGGGTGGGCCGGGCCGCGCCGGGCGGATCGCACTCGGGGAGGGTCGGGGGAGAGGGGCCAGGCGGGCGCGGCTCACCCACCTGCAGGCGGACGTTGAGCATCATGGAAGCCACGATGTACAGGTAGGGGAAGTTGATGCGCAGCCGCCAGGCCAGGTCGAAGAAGATGAGCAGCGTGCGGGTCAGCCCCTTGCAGAAGGCGCGGTAGGAGCCGCGGGTCGCGGCCCAGCGCGACAGCCGCACCGCCAGGCCGGACAGGGCCGCCGCCGCCATCGGTCTGTTGTAGCCTCCCATACAGCGCCCAGAGCCCAGGGACTCCTGCCGGCTCCGCGGACCCACCGACCGACGGACAGAGGGAATCCGTGCGGGAGGCCGACGGGGTGGCCCTCCTTGCCCTGCAGCCCTGGGAC